ATAGTTTAGATCAAAAATGATAACGAGTGTAGGTTTTGCTTGAGTATATTGTGAATAATTCATCATAGAACTTAAAAATGTACTTTTAAGATCTTTTTCTGTCACATACAAAATTTGTAGTGCACAATATTCTTGAATAGATGTAATAATATCTTCATTCAAAGCATTAATTGTTCCGTGAACATCAAAGATAACATAAGATCCATTGTTTTGATTTGCTGAATCTGATGGAAAAATTACATCGATACAACCATTTCGAAGACTTGAATTTCCATCTGTATTCAATCCTTCAATCCGTTTATCAGGAAAGATAAATTGTAGCATGCTTGTTTTACCCATTCCTATAGTTGATTCGCTACCAACTTGTAAAACATAACGAGTCGTTGTTAAACACATTGTTTCAGCAAGTAAATTGAAATTGATTTTATATTCGACAATATTTTTCTCTTTATTCCATATATAATATGCAAATGGTACAGGTAAATCATTTTTCTTTATAAAATTACCAAAGTAACGTTGACTTTCATAGTTCATTGATTCTGTAGTTGTTATTAGTAAAATTGATTTTGTTATTGTATCTATTATATCGAGAAAAGTTTGAATTCTTGTCTGAATCTGTGAGCCAAAACTCGTGAGATGTAATTTAGTGCATAATGATAAATTGTGAATAATGTCCATTAAACTATGATATCTTTTTAAACTATCAATAATATAGACTTTTAATGAATGATTTTGGATTAGTTGTTCGACTAATGTATGTTCATCAATTGCTGTATCTACCAATGTAGTGAATGTTTCATCTAATTCACTAGATTGACTGACACTTTCAGGAAGACATAAATATAATGACCATCGTTTTAATAATTCATAATCTTCAGTATTGAAATACTGAGCATCTACTTCTGCCGAATGAATGCAGTTAATATCTTGTAGCAGATATTTCAAATCAAGTAGCGTATTTGTATTTAAAATATTGCCAGTGGGCTTGGGACAGCTGGCTTTATTACCGATTCTTGCTAAAAAATGGGAGACAACATAAATGCTAAGCTCAAGTGACATCCAACAAACCATAAAAGCGGCTGATAGAAGCAGGAAGCATCAACAGCATTGCATGTGAAATATTTTAGTTAGAGAAACTTATGACAGCATATCATATCTTTAGATGTTCAATCAAAAAAACGTTTGAAATTTCTGACACTCATTAATGTTTTCTTTCATTAACTAACTATTTGCAGAGGTCAAGAAGACATCTAGTTTATCATAATTTTAGTTCTATTTACGCTGAAGTATATCATTAATCAAGAAGTAGAAGCGATACACTTCGTAAGGTAGACTACGATCGATAATGCTTTGATATTTAAACAAGAATATACGCAAATGCTCAAGTCATTCTGATTCCATTTTAGTTTTAAGTAGATTTATATGATTTATTCAAAAGCTGAGAAAGATTCTTTCGTTTAAGTGTTTGTTTCCGAAATATCAAATTTTCAAGGAGTGTCTCTCAGAGAATCTAAATTCTTCAGCAAAACTATACATCCGAATTTAGATTTGAAACTTTGCCCCAATTAAGACTTCAAATAGGTTAAGTTGTGTATAACGTTTCACAATTTGTGAGTTCAGCTTTAATCATATATGGAGTTTTAAAAATATCAGTTTTCCACAATGTCTGTAGAACTGCACCTATATTTTTAAAAATGCTCAGTTTGTAAAGACTACTCTAGAAAGTTGTGAAACGTTGTACATAACCTCATCTACAAAATGGAATCAAAACGACTTGGCAATCTGATGCGTTCTTTCGTTAGTTTACGAAACGATTCATTTAGTAGATATCCTCCATTTGAATCCGTCTTTTGCTGATAATTAGAACTTATCTTGTAAACGAAAATCCTAAAATGGTATACTGAAAAGAAAACGATGTGATACAGAACTTGAAAAAAAAGATCTTCTGCGCGCTACGAAGCTTAAAAATGGTTTCGAATTGGTTTCAATTCTCGAAATTGTTTTTTTCAGTGTACGTAGCATGACGCCTTTCTTCCCTAGTTATGATTAATGTTGTGCAATATTATTATACTGCAAGAGTCTCCGCGAAAAATAGAAGTGAGGAGTTTCAATGTCAAATTTTGCTCAAATAATGATCTCCAAGTCCTTATTATGTAGTAAAAAGTTTGACAATATTCAATTTGGCGACCTGCCTTATCGGCGAAAAATGATGGATTCGCGCAAGTGGCACCCTTTCATAGACTCGTACGCCATCACTGGAGATCCAAAGAAAATCAGGATTCCGCTGTTTGACATTTGATTTCGTCTCAAAATATTGAATGCTCAAAAAGAAATTAGATTTTTTTCGAATGTTATGTGAGGATGAGTTTAATTTACA